GCAGGTCACCCAACACTGCCTGCTAAGCCTAGCCAGGTCCACTCCTGATTAACAACAGAGATACAGGGCAAGAGTGCAGAGAGACTTGGGAACATAACCAAGTTTTTGACAGATAGTCCATGGTAACTGAGATACTGCATTTTTATTGTTATGCATTTGTTTCCTGCTCTACTTACATAGGAGGGTTTGAAATTGAACACACCCTTTAACATCTAACCATATGCCCAAAACATTCACAATGGAAATAAAAGGGAAATAAAACAAATAAATCAATCAAAATGATCTGACTCCTCTCCTGTTTAGTGACATCTGATACATCTCTGTCATATCATCCAGGCTCTGTCGTAGCTGGCCGCGACCGGGAGACCCATGGGGCGGCGCACAATTGGCCCAGCGTCGTCCAGGGTAGGGGAGGGAATGGCCAGCAGGGATGTAGCTCAGTTGGTAGAGCATGGCGTTTGCAACGCCAGGGTTGTGGGTTTGATTCCCACGGGGGGCCAGTATAAAAAAATAAAAAATAAAAAAAATAATTATGTATGCACTCACTAACTGTAAGTCGCTCTGGATAAGAGCATCTGCTAAATGACTAAAATGTAAATGTTAATCTCCAATGTATTGACACGTTTGGTTTGGGCAGAGATGTAGCTTTGCTCATCACTGCAGCTGCACCTTATGGCGTAGGGATTAGAGGCGATTAGGTTTCAGTGTTTTGGCAAAAGACAGCGTGTGATCTGAGCCGCCGTTTGATCTATGTTGTGAGAGTGAGCAAACGGATGAAAACAAAATCAAAACAGACTGCAAATACTAATCAAAGCTGTCACTATCATGGGGAAAAATGTCCCCAGTCAATCTGTAATTCCCTTCATTAAGAAAAGTAATACAAGTGTTTTGTCTTCACTGGAGATGGCAGAATAATATAATACCTGTTTCTTTTGAGATATCTCTCCCCCTGGTGAGATAATATCATCCGTCGAATTAACACAATGCGGTGTGTATGAGTGTGTGTACGTACGGTACTGAATTGGTATATCCATGTGTGAGAGTGTATACAGTATCAGTCATTTGGATGAATCCAGGGTAGAGGATTTGGTTAATACATCAAAAAGACCAGCTAAAATGAGGAAAGATGATTATGTGGATTAGGATTTGAATGTATTAAACACTATATCTGTGTTATTTCCCATACTGTGAGTGTCCTAACTAATTTACGTAGCTACAGTGGGGAGAACAAGTATTTGATACACTGCCGATTTTGCAGGTTTTCCTACTTACAAAGCATGTAGAGGTCTGTAATTTTTACCATAAATACACTTCAACTGTGAGAGACGGAATATAAAACAAAAAAAATCCAGAAAGCCACATTGTGTGATTTTTAAGTAATTAATTTGCATTTTATTGCATGACTTAAGTATTTGATACATTAGAAAAGCAGAACTTAATATTTTGTACAGAAACCTTTGTTTGCAATTACAGAGATCATACGATTCCTGTAGGTCTTGACCAGGTTTGCACACACTGCAGCAGGGATTTTGGCCCACTCCTCCATATAGACCTTCTCCAGATCCTTCAGGTTTCGGGGCTGTCGCTGGGTAATACGGACTTTCAGCTCCCTCCAAAGATTTTCTATTGGGTTCAGGTCTGGAGACTAGCTAGGCCATTCCAGGACCTTGAGATGCTTCTTACGGAGCCACTCCTTAGTTGCCCTGGCTGTGTGTTTCGGGTCGTTGTCATGCTGGAAGACCCAGCCACGACCCATCTTCAATGCTCTTACTGAGGGAAGGAGGTTGTTGGCCAAGATCTCGCGATACATGGCCCCATCCATCCTCCCCTCAATACGCTGCAGTCGTCCTGTCCCCTTTGCAGAAAAGCATCCCCAAAGAATGATGTTTCCACCTCCATGCTTCACGGTTGGGATGGTGTTCTTGGGGTTGTACTCATCCTTCTTCCTCCAAACACGGCGAGTGGAGTTTAGACCAAAAAGCTATATTTTTGTCTCATCAGACCACATGACCTTCTCCCATTCCTCCTCTGGATCATCCAGATGGTCATTGGCAAACTTCAGACGGGCCTGGACATGCGCTGGCTTGAGCAGGGGGACCTTGCGTGCGCTGCAGGATTTTAATCCATGACGGCATAGTGTGTTACTAATGGTTTTCTTTGAGACTGTGGTCCCAGCTCTCTTCAGGTCATTGACCAGGTCCTGACGTGTAGTTCTGGGCTGATCCTTCACCTTCCTCATGATCATTGATGCCCCACGAGGTGAGATCTTGCATGGAGCCCCAGACCGAGGGTGATTGACCGTCATCTTGAACTTCTTTCATTTTCTAATAATTGCGCCAACAGTTGTTGCCTTCTCACCAAGCTGCTTGCCTATTGTCCTGTAGCCCATCCCAGCCTTGTGCAGGTCTACAATTTTATCCCTGATGTCCTTACACAGCTCTCTGGTCTTGGCCATTGTGGAGAGGTTGGAGTCTGTTTGATTGAGTGTGTGGACAGGTGTCTTTTGTACAGGTAATGAGTTCAAACAGGTGCAGTTAATACAGGTAATGAGTGGAGAACAGGAGGGCTTCTTAAAGAAAAACTAACAGGTCTGTGAGAGCCGGAATTCTTACTGGTTGGTAGGTGATCAAATACTTATGTCATGCAATAAAATGCAAATTAATTACTTAAAAATCATACAATGTGATTTTCTGGATTTTGTTTTAGATTCCGTCTCTCACAGTTGAAGTGTACCTATGATACAAATTACAGACCTCTACATGCTTTGTAAGTAGGAAAACCTGCAAAATCGGCAGTGTATCAAATACTTGTTCTCCCCACTGTAGGTAACTATTCCAAATGACTGCCAGACGAGAGGCATGGGGAGATTTGAGGCAGTACCAAATGAGAAATAAGGACAGGGGGCAGAGGAACAGAGAGAGATGAAAAGAGAGAAGAGAGAAAGAAACCTTTGACATCTACTGTGAAAACTGTGCTTTTCACCTCTCCTAAAGATCTGGATTACTTAAATAGAACAAACCGGTGTGTTCTTTCAATATCTTCAAAGACATTTTCAGAGCTTTTTGTAACTTCTGGTTCACTCCGATGATTTTCAAAGCACTACTAACCCCTGACCCTGCCACTCTGGAGAGAGTGTGAGTGTGTGTGTGTCAGAATGCTCAGGTGGTTATCGATCCAGTAGTTAGTGTAGCCGTAGACCCAGAGTAGTGAGGAATATGGCTGTATTGATTCCCCATGTAGAATCTCTCTCCCAGCTGTTAGATCTCTGCTTATATAACTGGCCCCTTTCCCCATTTCCTTCCCCTTTTCATCGTTTCATTGTTCTCTGCTTGTTTTCCCCTCTCCAACCTCAAATAGGAGAAGAGCAGACACACACAGACACACAGACACACACACAGAGACACACACACAGAGACACACACACAGAGACACACACACACATAGAAAAATAGAAAGGGAGTTTATGGAAACACTAATCCACAAAACTAGAGAATGTGACATCTCTCCGTGTTTGTTTTTCAGGATCGGAGGTTTGTCTGTGTAAATCCCAGTGCATTGATTGGAGCTCAGAACTGCAAGGCAAACACAGTATACTGCATGCTTCAATTTTTAACTCATTCATCCTGGCTCCTTGTTAGTTTGCCTGTTAAAGTTGGCCTCCTCCTTTCCTACTCCTCTACTCTCTCTCTCTCACACACACAAACACACAAACACACACACAAAGCCCCCTGGACTCGTGCTGGCTGGTGCCATCCCACTTGAGTTGTGACTGTCCAGGGAGAGCCAGTTAGAGTCTTTTACTCTGTTTGGAAGAGAGGGTTCATCTGTCTGGTCAGCAGAAAACACTGACAGATAGATGCACTAGCACACACACACACCAATGTAAATTCTCACATACTGTACTACACAAAATCTGCATTCGAATGCAGAAACATGTACTCCTGCCCACTCAGCCACTCGACCAAACCTACACACACACACACACACACACACACCTCAGATGAAAAGACAACACATGCACCTGTCCCTCCACCCACTCATCTAACACACGTATATATGCACTACACTTTTTTCCAGCCATGATTACCATCGCTTTTCTCGTCACACATTCCATGAAGCACCCGCCCACACACCACACACCACTCTCTAAGCTCTCTTCCTCATCAGTCAGCCAACCCTGCCTACAGTGAAAGATGAATGTTAAAACACACAGCTTTGCACTCTCATCCCCTCTCTAACTCGTCCTTCCGCCCTCTTACCTGCCTCTCTACCTCGAAATCGATCTCATTTTTCTCTAGTCTAAATTATCACTCAAATCATCACTATCAAACAAACCACTTTCATTTTCTAAAGCCACTGCTCTTCCTTCAATCAGTCCACTATTATTTAGTTTACATCACTTACATATTTGACTACACCTTTTTCAGCAATATTCATTTAGTTTAATCCTCTCTCTTTTTATGGTCTCTCTTTCATTTCACTATATTGCCTTCTCTATATGAAAATGGCGAAATCCCAAATGCCACCCATTATCTACCCATTACAATTAATTAACTCCCATAGAAACGATAGTGTTCTAATATAGCTACATTTATTATTCCCTTTCATCACTACCCATTCCTCTCTCTCTCTGTCCTCCACACCGCAGCCCCACTGTTAGATATCCTGCTGTTTATCCCCTCTCTACAGCTCCCTCCTCCTCCTCTCCAATTCTGCAAAAAACTCTATACCCATCAAACTCAACTCTGGACCTAGAAGCCTGTTCCACTCCATTTGTTCATTATTCCCCTCTAATCAGGGACTGATTTAGACCTGGGACACCAGGTGGGTGCAATTAATGATCAGGTAGAACAGAAAACCAGCACGCTCCAGACCTCATAGGGTAAGAGCGGAATACACCATATTCTATACCATACAAATAGGCCATTTAATATCATACTGTAACGCAACACACAAGCCATCAACAGCAGAGCAGTGTACACAACAGGAAGTGGCGTTACTCACATGGTCTCGTCGTTCTGGAACTCCAGTTTCCCAGCCACCTCCTCGTAGTCCTCCCCAGCCTTGGCGGTGCCCTCCAGGGTGTGGTAGGGGATGGCCACCTTGCCCCTGGCTCCGGACATCCGGTGCACCTTCACCTGCATGCTGCCCACGCTCTCGCTCACCCTCATCGACTCTACTTCAAACGTGAAGATGCCTGCGTGGTCGTCGTCATAGATGGTTACCGTGGCGGTGTGGGCGTTGCCGAGGGCGGCCTTGGGGGATACGTGGGGGGAGAGGTTCCTCATACTGCTGGTGGTGGTGATGGTGCTGGGCTCTAGGATGGCCACCTCGGCACGGTGGACGATGCGAGGGTTGCTGAGGTGCACATAGAAGTGCTCGTCCTCTTCAAAGATGTCATCATCAATAACCCCCACGGTCAGCTCCTTCAGTGTCTCACCAGGTTTGAAGACCAGCGTGCCCTCAGCAAATTCATAGTCTGAGCCGGCGTTGGCCGTGCCATCCTCTGTCCTGTAGTCCACCTGAGGTGACCCAGGAACAAAACCAACTCAATGACAATTCAATTAATTCACTAGACAAGAGTAATTACTGGAGAAAATGCCCCCCTGGCTCGACCCTTATCTCATCTAAAAACCTTTCCCATTATTACATTTAGCTTGAGTGATTTTCAACATAATAATCTTTCCATTATACAATATAATTAATCACAAAGACAAATGTGAGTAGCTTGTCCCCATTGACCTTGACTGTGCAGCCGCTTTCGCCCCCATGGCGCCCAACAGACAGCTTGAGCGAGCTACAGTTCTCGAAGCACTGGTAGTGGGAGGGTTCAAACTGCAGGTAGATGGTGTGGGGGTCCTCTTCCTGTCCGCTGGCCTCATGGCAGCTCACCACCTTCCTGGCCTGGTCGGCAGCATGCTTCTTCAGGATGTTACCAGCACCGATCATCATGCGCGTGGCTTGGATACGGTAGAAAGCTCTGCTCTTCTGCTGCTGGACCAGCACCTGGTAGTTGGCCATCTCAATCAGCTGCTCTGTGTCCTTCTCTGGGTGCCTCTGTTTCAGCTCCTTCAGGGTGCGGGCCATGTCCCTCCGAGCCTCATCCTCTTCTGAGTTCATTCCTCCACCCTCCTCCACCCCCTCCAGCATGCTGTCCAGCACCTCCTTGGGGTGGGGGTGGGAGTTGCCACTCTGGCCGTCCATCTCCACGTCCATCTTGGTGAACATGCCGTCCCCCTCCGTCTCGATGATGATGCCGCGGGCCTTGTCGACACGGTAACGCTTGTGGATGTACTTGTAGAAGAGCAGGCGTCGGTCAGCAACCCAGGCCTGAACCACACAGATGGGGAAGAACATGAAGGTGAGCACGGCCTCCCACACCTCCACCTCCCCCGGGGAGATGACAGCCAGGATCAGGTAGAGCCAGATGTAAGCAAAAATGCTCCAGGCTGCCGTGACAAAGAACACCCTCAGGTGCTTGATCCTGCGTGTCTCGTTCTCTGGCACCACGTACACACAGAGGGCGATGATGACGAACATGTTGAAGGCTGCGCTGCCCACGATGGTGCTGGGGCCCAGAGAGCCTGCCTCAAACGAGTGGCCACACACCTCGATGACAGACAGCAGGATCTCTGGGGCAGACGAGCCTAGGGCCATCAGGGTCAGGTTGGATACGGTCTCGTTCCAGATGCGTACAGTGGCTGTGGTGGTCTCTCCGTTGGACTTCTTGATGGTGATCTCTTTCTCCTGAGAGGTGATGACCTCAATAGAAGACATGAAGCGGTCGGCGATGATGGACATTCCCAGGAACATGTAGATGAGGGCCACAAAGTAGACGATGGCCCGTGCCACCTTGTCACCAACCGACGGGTTCTGAGGGTTCCACATGGGCAGGACCACACCCTCAGAGCAGGGGTCGCCATCGGAGCAGTTGCTGGGCGGGCTGCTGGGTGCTGCATGGTCTGAGCCAGCCTGAGAGAGGTGGGTGAGCCCCAGGAGGAAGAGGAGGAAGAGGGAGGTGGAGAGGCAGGAGGAGGAGGGGTGGGCAAGGCTCAGAATGCGGGTGTGTAACATGCCGGCGTCCGGACATTCGAGTCAGCTGGCTCCAGAGATCAATCCACTTCACGTCTAACGTCTCAACAGACACCTCTGGAAGACACAAGGGAAGAAGTGTAGTGACTTACAGGACACACTAGCACAAACGCAATATTAATCATTAGTAGCTGCAGATCAGTGAAGGGTCTGCAATACATCCCTTGTCCTGGAGCCACGGAGTAGTCCTTGTCTTTCCCTAAGGCTAGGTATTCCAGTGGTCAACCAGAATGTGATGGGGGAGTTACAGTGATAGAGATAATTACAATGTCTGGTTCATCAATTGAAGCCTGGACGACAATTAAAACCAGCAGACCAAGTAAGTAGCTCTCCAGAAGCTGAATTATCAATTTTTACAGATGAGCACCACTGTTGTTTACCCACCTGAGTAATCTTACCGTAACCCTGTTTCTACTGTTATTGGTGTTTTATAGCCATTGCTGCTGCTGTTACAATATCTGATGCTGTCAACTAGTACTTTATTCTCTGAATATCCCATCCAACAGCTCCTGTTTCACCCCTTCTCCGTTGTGTGACTGACTACCCATTGTGCTGTATTGTCAATGTTAACTCTGTAAAACACTGAGCACAGTGTTCACTTTGAAATACACTTTTTTTAAACACTAAACCTTGCTCTTTTTAATGCCTCTGTTTATGGCACTTAACAAATGTGTTAAACCGTGGCCCAGAGTCAGTGGTAACAATAACAGCATAATAAGTCAAGTGTTTTTTCCTTCTCATCCCTGAAAAGTCCTAGCTGAGGCGTGTTTTATATAAGTATCCTGCATGGATGACCAATGACGCCTCTGCTTCCTTAGCCTCTCTCTCTCTCCACAAACAGTACAGTACACTCACATCATCAGCTCCTGTCCCTTCCAAGCCATACAGTGCTCCACAGCCTTTCACCTCCTAGTGCCAGCCTCCTCCTATTCCCTACCTCTCCACGTGCACTCCCTCCTAACCAGTCACCCACCTCTTTGGATGATCCCCCTAACCCTAACCGTATCAGCAGCACTACAGTGAGACCACCGACAGCTATTGTACCACCAATAACAACAGAAAGCCTCGCTGGGTAAGTTGGCATTTGGCCAAGGTGGTTTACGCACTAAAGAGGAGATTACTCAAAGGTGGGTGAACAGAACAGCATTGCTGATGTGTGGAGAGGATCCAGCCCAGTATTCACAGAATACTGACATTTTCATCAGCCTTCCTGTGCACTCCAATGGCTCTCCCTGGTACTTCAACTACTTGGATGGGAATTATAGTGTTTTTCCCTGCCTTCTATTCTTCACTTACCATGCAACATAGCCCACGTAGTGTGAGACTGGAGACTAGCTGGAGTTCCCTAATGATTGACAGGTGAAAACATTCTGTGGACATGGCACACACGTACGCACCATGACTACCATTTAACGAGACAGGACGATAGGGAACAGTGATCTGGATAAGAGTGAGCGTCCATGTCTGCAGTCACTGGGAGTCAAACAGTCAGGTAGGGACAAGATCTCAGCGTCACATCGAAAGGACATCTAAGCCTCTGTGCCCCTTTCCATTGGTTTGGTGTATTGATTTGTACCCTTAAAACGCGAAGCGTCTTCAAGCATGTAAACCTTTAGAAAATGGGGCACACTGTTGAGGGGTCAAAGATGAAATTGTTGGATCTCAAAAACATTCAGACATTCAGAGCAAAGAGGAAAGAATTGTATAATATTACAAGATGCCAAGAAGAAGAGGACTGCATGAATATTAGATTAGGAGACTCAGACCAGACCCAGAACTGGACATCAGCTGTATGTGCGGTATAGGTTTAATCAGTGGTCCAATCAGCCTGCCATCGTCTCTCTCTGCCTCCACTGAGAATTCTGCCATCAGTAACCACGGTGACAGGCCAGAAACAACAAATAGAGTTTGAAACAACATGAGCACACCACACAAACCATAAATGTTGTGGTGTCATTTCAGATTTTTCTTGAGCAGAATATGCTCGTACAAATTGATTCAATTTCACTCCATGTTAAACTATGTCTAGACTGGGGTACCGCATTCCTTCATCTCAATTACTACCTGACATTTTTAGGATAACTGTGCAAAAGCAATTTTATTGTTATCACATAGACTTGATGGCATGCCCATAGATTTCAGTTAGCATTGATGCAAAGAGCTGTAGAAATAGCACAAAGGTCATTCAAATCCAATATATTTCCTTATCATTGTTGTTTTGTATGAGTCTATGGAACACTGCAAAACTATACCAAACCACCTACATTAACAGATGTGTGATAGGGGGTTTAGGTTTGGGCACCAAAAGCAGTCAATACTGTACTCTTCAGTCCAGCCAAGTCAATATTTAGCACACCTCCCCTCTGTCTTCATTTACCTCCTGACAGCAATCCCCAGCAATGCTACACAAATCATGTAAATCCTACAACACAGTAACTGATCGTTGATATTCTCTTATGTTTGCAGTCTTCATAATGGCCCCCAGAAAGGTAAAATCGATTCAGTGCCAACATTCTAATACTGAGACTTACCATGAAGACGATCTCTTTAATAATAATAATATGCCATTTAGCAGACGCTTTTATCCAAAGCGACTTACAGTCATGCGTGCATAAATTTTTTGTGTATGGGTGGTCCCGGGGATCGAACCCACTACCTTGGCGTTACAAGCGCCGTGCGCTACCAGCTGAGCTACAGAGGAAGGCCAAGTAATGTAGCTGTCTCATTGATGTCAGCTAACATTGTAATATAATAGCATTGTTCTTTGTCCAGGTTAGACCGTGGGGCTGCTCACCGCTAGCAGATAGCAGGGGGAATGAGAGCGGAGCAGCATACTAATGAAGGGAGCGTTAGAGAGGAGCTAGACAACACCTGCAGGTCACCCCTGATGTTCTCACAAAGAGACCACTGCAAATGTTTCTTAAATCAGCATCTCTACATGTATGACAGCCATTCCATTCCAGTGTCTGTTGAATTCCAACACAGGCACACCTCATTCTACTGAATTAGGTACTGATTAGGTGATCATCTGAACCAAATCTTATTTAACAAGGAAAAGTATAAAAACCACTGCTGTGGTCATCACTATCCTCTTGCAATAGGACCAGCTGGATGGCAAAAACAGTGCTAATAGTACCTCAAAAGTAATATTAATCAAAAAATAACTATTGACCATGCCAAAAGAGTTGAAAAGGAAAGTTTTGAGTGAGGAAAAGAAGGGTTCAATTCTGGCTTTACTGGCAGAGGGATACAGTGAGCGTCAGGTTGCTTCCATCCTTAAACTTTCAAAGACGGCGGTTCATAAGAACAAGGTGTCACGATCGTCGTATACAGAGGAGGACCAAGGCGCAGCGTTGCAGGCAAACATACTCTTTATTTAGAGACACGATCAAAACAACAAAACGATGACGTGACAGTTCACGGTCTAACACAAACAGACTAGAAACAAGATCCCACAACATTTGTGGGCAAATAGCCTCTATAAATATGGCTCCCAATCAGAGACAACCAGCCACAGCTGACACTCGTTGCCTCTGATTGGGAACCACTCTGGCCAACACAGAAATACAACCTATAGAATATCCACACCCTGGCTCAACATATAGAGTCCCAGAGCCAGGGTGTGACAGTACCCCCCCCCTAAAGGCGCGGACTGCGACCGCGCCTAAACGTACACACACCAGGGGAGGGCTGGGTGGGCATTCCTCCTCGGAGGCGGTTCCGGCTCCGGGCTTGACCACCACCCTTCCACCATCCCCCCGTGGCGCCCCTGGTCCGGTCTGGCCCCGCTGGCTGGAGCTGGACCGGACATCGTAGAAGCGGACCGCTTTGGCTCCGGTGTGGAGCAGCTGACCGGTACCTTACCAGGCCCCGGTGACCCAGGCACGGGTTGTGCTGGACTGACGACGCGCACCCCTGGCTTGGTGCGTGGAGCCGGAACGGGCCGGACCGGGCTGACGACTCGCACCCCTGGCTTGGTGCGTGGAGTAGGAACGGGCCGGACCGGGCTGACGATGCGCACCCCTGGCTTGGTGCGTGGAGTAGGAACGGGCCGGACCGGGCTGACGATGCGCACCCCTGGCTTGGTGCGTGGAGTAGGAACGGGCCGGACCGGGCTGACGATGCGCACCCCTGGCTTGGTGCGTGGAGTAGGAACGGGCCGGACCGGGCTGACGATGCGCACCCCTGGCTTGGTGCGTGGAGTAGGAACGGGCCGGACCGGGCTGACGATGCGCACCCCTGGCTTGGTGCGAGGAGCAGGGACAGGCCGGACCGGGCTGGCGACGCACACCGTAGGCTTGGTGCGTGGAGCAGGGACAGGCCGGACCGGGCTGGCGACGCACACCGTAGGCTTGGTGCGAGGAGCAGGGACAGGCCGGACCGGGCTGGCGACGCACACCGTAGGCTTGGTGCGTGGAGCAGGGACAGGCCGGACCGGGCTGGCGACGCACACCGTAGGCTTGGTGCGTGGAGCAGGGACAGGCCGGACCGGGCTGTGGAGACGGATAGGAGACCTGGAGTGAAGAGCTGCCACAACCCGTCCTGGCTGAATGCCTACCCTCACACACTCTGTGTGAGGCATCAGCACAGGATGTACAGGGCTGTGTACCCGTACTGGCATAACAGCACGGGACACTGGCGCAGGATATCCGGGACCGAGGAGAGGCACTGGAGGCCACGAGCGCTGAGCCGGCACACTCCGTCCTGGCTGCATGCCCACCTTCGCACAACACGTGCGGGGTGCTCGCACAGGACGTACCGGACTATGCCGGACCACTCGTGGCACAGTGCGCAGCTCCGCATACCGCGGAACCTGCCCAGTCTCATGCTGCCATGCCTGAGTACGGGGAGTTGGCTCTGCTCTCCATCCAGGCTCCGCCAACCTGCCTTCTGGCCCCCAAAACCCGGTGGCCTCCTCTCCTAATCTCCCAATTCGCCCTGTGGCAGCCTCCTGCTGCCCAGTCGCCCATGCCGTGTGCCCC